AGATGCCAGTATTTGAAGCTGCATTTCACCCAAGTGTATTACCAAACCCATTTATGTCCAATAACAGGGAAAGCCCATGCATCAGGGTGTCCGTAATGTGGGGTGTCCTTTGCAAAATCCTGCTCGCTCCATCTGAAAATTGGTTGCTGGTCATAAGTGGGTCCATTCACAGCCAAGAACTTTAGTCCACTAGCCATGCTTGAGGTGGTCATCTTCATGTCTGTGCCCCCATGTGACCTGTGGCCCAGAGCTCCAAAGGGGTATGTCCCATTCTTGGGGTTGAGGTCATTTCTGGCAGAAATGGCATTTTCAGCACTGAATGGAGGAGTGCAGTTGCAGCGGGAGAGGGGGTCATGCTGAAAGTCATTGTAACGCATCAGCTTAATCATGGAACGGATGTTTTTTACTTTCACATGGTCCCTCTTGAAAATCAGAGCTCTTGGAGTTTTATCGTAAGTGAACCAGTCCCCATAACGTTTAACCATAGCAGGAGCTCCACTCATGTTGAAGATCTCAGGGTAGAATGGGACATTGTAACTTGGCCAGTAAGATTGAGACCGAAGGATGTGAGACTGGTCACCCGACAGTACAATGCCTGGGAGTTGCTCCAATACCCATAATGTATTAGGTCTGAAAGGATAATGATAGATAAAAAATAAAAAGTATGAAATGGTAGAGTCAAAAGAATTCATATAAATTTTTTCTAGGCTAGTTACATAAAACAAAGCAATACTTAATGAAAGGCTATGCAAAAAAGGTACACCTAATGTTGAACATTAAAATAATGCATTCCCATATTTAAAAGCAAATTATTTCATGATCAGCCATCTTTTCTCCCTTACTTAATGTGTTTCCTTGGTTTAAACAGCTTGTAGTCAACCACCATCCACTGGTTGTTGTAAGTCCCACTATTATGCATGGAGAAGAACTTGGCCCAACTCTTTCCATCTGTGGCTAAACGGTTGGCAACAATTGTCCGCATCCATTCCATTAGCTAGAAATGAAAGTGTCATGCAAAATTCTGCAGACTTGAAAAGGGGATTTGCACAGCAGTATATGATTTAAAATATTTTAAAAAGTATTCTTTATATTAATTTATGAAAGTAATACTGGAAATATGAAGAAGTAGAATTACACCATAATCACAAATATTAGTAATACTTTGATTGATAAAATGGACAACAGATTCCCAAAGATGATACCTTCTAATATCCTGAGGTTTCTAAATGTTTTGTGTATTCCTATTTGATATAACAACAAAACTGCAAAACAAATATGAAGTAATATGAAGGAATCTCTAGACCTCTCCTGACCCATTCTAAGTAATGAAAAAACTAAAGTTGCACTAAATGAGAGGAAACTGAAACTCTAGAAGAATATATTAAACTTCTGCACATAATGAGAGCATGCATCACTTCTAGGATCCTGTGATAACTTGTAGCCCATGGCCGAGTCAAAAAAGTTTTAAAGAAACCATGTCATAATATAGCAAGTAATGAATGACTACCAAAGCAACCCACTGCCACTGGGGATGACATGTATGTACATCCCATGCCCACTGTTATTTTTGTTTGTCAATTGTGTTTACCCTTAGATGGCTCAATGAGTGTTTAGTCACCAAGGAGTCAATTATTACTCTTTATATATTGCACCGTTTTCCCCATTTAATAGATTTTTGGAAATATTCTTTTTAAGGTTATTTTCAGAATCTATTTTGAATCATCCTTTGTGTTTAAACATAGATGGCTCCATGAATGGTTAGTCACCAAGGAGTCAATTATTACTCTTACCTATTTCACCTGTTTCTCATTTTCTTTTGATTCTTCTTTTACTATTAGTATAGAATATTTCCAAAAATCTATTAAATGGGGAAAACAGTGCAATATATAAAGAGTAATAATTGACTCCTTGGTGACTAAACACTCATTGAGCCATCTAAGGGTAAACACAATTGACAAACAAAAATAACAGTGGGCATGGGATGTACATACATAATAATAACTTTAATAATAATAATAACTTTATAATAACCATAATGTCAACAAAAATAAAAGTATTAATATTAATAGCATTTGATAAAAAAAAATCCCTAAAACTCAAGGAAGAGGGAAAATCAGCCCTAATTGATTCCTTGGTGGCTAAGCATTTGTGGAGCACTCTGTGTTAATACAATTCAAAAAACTAAACTACATCAGACATTACATGTTCCTAGGGACAATGGGTAATGCCAATTAAAAATTTATTATGAACTTTATGAGTGGCTTCCAACTGTCAGTTTTCCCTTGTCAGCTTTGTTACTAAGAAGGCTCCCTCAGTGAACTACAGGGAAATTCCTCTGAAACTTATTATGGGCAAGAGGATTATGACCCAAACTTTATATTGAGCAACTGCCCTGACAAAATCACAAGAGAAAGCTTTGCTACATACTCTTTAAACATTACTGGAGATAAAAGAAAAAAGAAAAAGGCAGTTCTGGAACCTCTTTAAAACAAGAAATAAGAAAAAGAAGTCCAAACAAACTCAACACAACATCCACTAACCTCTCCAGTTGCAGTGACATTCTTCCACAGTGCTGGGTTGCCGTTTCCAATGGTAGTTTCCAGACTGGTAAGTCCCGATGAGAGGACGTAGAAGTCATCTCCAGACGACAGGATTCCCGGGTATGATGAGAATGCAACGGTGTGGCCGGGGATAGTGTCACTGGGGTCAGATGATCCTGTTCTTCGGAAGGGCAGGATGTACTTTTTCTGGACTCTTAGCATGGACTGGTACCTGATGTTGAGCAGAGTTAATACTTTTTGTATTCAGTTAGATGAAAATAAATTCATTGAGAAAAGAAAGACAAAAGGAAACTTTGAAATGACAAGAGAAGAAGAAAATAGAATCAACGGAATAACATGAAAATTGTAAGTAAAAAAGAACACAGGAAGTCTCACAAATATAGCTCATCTTTTTTAACTCAATTATATTTTAGTAAATTTCTATTGTGGATTTATAACTTTTGGAGCCTTATGTTCTTTATAAACTTGTCTTCTAGGAAAAGAAAGAAAGACAATGAAGAAAACATGTGAATAAATAAATGGTCTTTGTACTTTTCCCTTGTCTTCTTTCCTACCTCAACCCTGTAGCATATGTTCTCTTCTAAATATATACAGTACATTATCATTAAAAATGATAATGATAATAAAAACAAAAAATATACCTCCAACAGGTTCTCACCCCAAGCAAAACCCCAAACCTTACGTGTTCCAGGTGACGTGCGAGACATAGAGGTCTGTGTTGCCTGGCAGCACTTTGACAAGAGCAGAGCAGTGTCCATCGCCTAAGGTTCGTCCTGACTTGACAAAGTCTTCAATGCTCATGTTGCTCAGGCTAGGATCCAAGGCAGATTCCAGGTCCTCGATATCCCCTAAGAGGTTCATCCACCTTGGGGTAAAAATGAAAGACAAGAAAAATGAGGAGGATGAATAAAGAGAACCAGCTGGATTATAAATGTGAAGGTGAATAGGGGTAATGTAATGATGAAAAAGAATGTGGAGGAGGAAAAAAGAAAATAGCACTGGATCTTTAACCATCCCTGTCTCACATAAAATATCAATGAACAAATGCAAAATTTATAACAAAAAAAATGAACTTACAAAATAGCCTCATCTGGAATGGGAAATTTTCCTGTCTTGTTGTAACCATCTGCAACCCCATTCATTTGGGTCAGGATGAGGTCAATCTGTTGGGAGCATGTAAGTAAATATCATGAAAGTAAATGTCATATCTGTCACACAAATAAGACATTAAACTAATTAAAAATAAACCAAACTAAAAGAAAAATCACATAACTTTAGATCTAATTTGAAGATGTTCAATTCTATGTCCTAATGGAACTCATTAACTTCTACTCTCCACTTACATTATAAAACACCGGACAAGACTGCCTTTTTAGTGCAATCATTGACTTCATCCACTGCATATTCTTCTTCAAAAATTCCCTTAGATTGTCACAAAATTTTTGGGACTTCCACTCACAAAATCCTTCTAAGGTGTTCCTGGAAAAGATAAGGTGTAAGTTACCGAGAGTGATCCGCGGAGATAGAGAGAAATGGACACTGCCATCTTATAGATAAGAGTAAGGAAAAATATTTTTAAGCAGTAAATGGAAAAAATGTCAGCTGCACAGCACCGCTCACAGCATGGGGTATTTGACCCCCGAAGTAGTTTACAAGACTTCCAGGATTTCCGAAATCCCAAAAAATTTTACTGGGATTTCTGGATTTCCAAAGACATTTAAAAGTCTTCAAATCATTGTAAAAGTATGAAATGCACTACTTTACCATAAAGCATGATTCTGCTTAAGGTTACTGTAACCTTTCAGACAAAACATCTTCATTTTTCGTTTTTGTCATAATCTGATTGATTAACCTTGGGATTAACTTTTTATGTATCGCTTAAACTAATTCACTTCCAGAAATATCCAGTTACTTGGAAATTTCAGCATTTTAAAAGGGGAAATCCTGTTTCTGAATAATTGTGTGAATAGACATTAGGAGATTGAGGTAAACTCACTTGACCTTGCGGATACATTCATAACATCCTATGCTACTATTCTATCGATACAATGGTTAACCAAGACTGCCCTTAAGCCTTAGTGCTTAACTTATGCATTTTTTTGCTTCATTTTGTTAAAGCCTTTTTTCCCAAAAAAGGATTCCGTAGCACTAGTTGGTAATAGAAAATCTATACCCAAAAGGTCAGTCAAATCACTTGAAACTTGGCACACAGGGTCACAAAGTATATAACTATGAAACTGTCAGTGATTAATGATAAATCCACTTGTCTGATTTTTAAAAAAGGTTTGACAGTTACAACTGTCATTTCAGACAAAAAGGCAATTTTCAAAGACAATAGGTTCTATCAAAAATTTGTGACCTGGTTTTGCACGAGGCGGTCTCAACATAGCACTCTGTCCTTTAAATGCTCAGGTGTTAATGACACTTTTCTCTATCAATTTTTAAAGACATCTTTAGTAGTATTACCAAGATTTTGTAAAAGATTACTGCAAATGGCACAATTGTGAGATTTTCAGATTCTCAAGATTTCAAAAAAATTCTTGAGGATTTCTGGATTTCCCAAGTATTCCTTAAAGATTTCTGATTTTTTTTTCTTTGTTTTTCCAAGTAGGATGTTTGGGATTTCCGAAGTGAAATGCCCCTTGGCTCAGAGGCCAAGTCCTCAACACCCTCAGAGTTGTTAATATCAATTTTCTAAATTAGCACAAAGTGCTAATAAATAAGGGGTACAGTGCAGCTTGCCCCCCTATCTATGGAACAAATAGATGGTACGAAAGGTTAGGTTGGGTTTTTGTGTTCGCATGATACTGGAGGGTTGCTCGCAAGATAAAGAGAAGCAATGATTAGCATAAGAGCAGAGGAAGAGAGAGAGAGAGAAGGAGAGAGAGAGAGAAGAGAGGAGAGAGAGAGAGAGAGAGATGCAACGAGGAGAGAGAGAGAGAAGAGAGAGAAAGAGAGAGAGAGAGAGAGAGAGAGAGAGAGAGAGAGAGAGAGAGAGAGGAGAGAGAGAGAGAGAGAGAGAGAGAGAGAGAGAGAGAGAGAGAGAGAGAGAGAGAGAGAGAGAGAGAGAAGGAGAGAAGTGAAGAGAGAGAGAGAGAGAGAAAGAGAGAGAGAAGAAAGAGAGAGAGAGAGAGAGAGAGAGAGAGAGAGAGAGAGAGAGAGAGAGAGAGAGAGAGAGAGAGAGAGAGAGAGAGAGGAGAGAGAGAGAGAGAGAGAGAGAGAGAGAGAGAGAGAGAGAGAGTAGAGAGAGAGAGAGAGAGAGAGAGAGAGAGGAGAAGAGAGAGAGAGAGAGAGAGAGAGAGAGAGAGAGAGAGAGAGAGAAAGCTTCAGTGTTATAAGCTGAACTCGGCACATAACACACACACACATTAGGACAAGGAAATTCCAAAAAATTAACAATAAAAAACATTAAAACAATAAAAGAACAATTTATTATGGACATCCCTATGGATTATAAAGGGACTCTCTAGTAGGGGCTGTGAGGAGGGAGAGAGAGGAGAGAGAGAGAGAGAGAGGAGAGAGAGAGGGAGGAGAAGAGGGAGAGAGGATTGAGGGAGTAGAGGGAGAGAGGTGAGAGAGAGAGGAGAGAGAGGGAGAGGGAGAGAGGGAGGGAAGAGGGAGGGGAGAGAGAGGGAGGGGAGAGAGAGGGGAGGAGAGAGGGATGGGAGCGAGTGGAGGGAGAGAGGGAGGAGGGAGGGGAGAGAGGGAGAGGGAAGGGAGAGGGAGAGAGAGGGAGAGAGGGGAGAGAGGGAGAGAGAGAGACAAAAACAAAAACAGCACAGAACATTAACTAATGATACAATCCTCTCCATTTGATTATAAATTACAGTAAATGAATCGATTGTGTGAAAATCATGTCCTAGAACTAAATGACAAACTAGGTCTATTCACTGAAAAATATTAAAATAGCGGTAACTATCTCCTATATATCATTAATAATTAACATTACTAATTACTAAATCCTTCATAATACCACAAGAAACTACAACCAGGTTAGTACCTGTACGACTTGTAAATCATGTCCTGCGAAGAAGCACCTTCAGCAAAGCCAGCTGCGTATGCCTGAATCGTGTCAGGATATGCTGGGTTGGTCTCTACTTCCAGGTATCCCCATCTGAAAAAAGGTTGCATTCTTGTTTAAACTAAACATTTTGAAGTAGGATTAAAAAACAAAAACAAAAAAACTATGGTGAATACTCATTGTATCAAAGGGATGTTGGTAAAGAATATTAACTATTCGATCTTTGGTGCTGTTTAAATAGAACAAGCTGCGGTGCACTGACATTTACGATGAATATCAACATATAAATGATATCTGTTACTACATGTATCATTATGTCTATCTTACACTACTGTTTGCAGAAGAAAATCTATAATAATATTCACAAACATGCACATATATACATATAGTTTAGCATATACATTACAATGTAACCTCAGATCCTACTCACCCATCTTCAAATGTATGGTCAGTGAAATTCCCTCGTGCCACCCAATTCTTAGTAATTCCATCGTTGAGGTGGAAATTTGTGCCGTCATATGACACGCTCAGGAGTGCAGGTGAGGCTGGGATGGCAAGGACCAAGAGGGCCAGGAAAGTGCTTGTACATGCCCCTTGCCCTGTCATGGTTGGTTTCTACATGGTATCAGAGAATGAAAATAGAAAATTAGAAACTAGGGTACTGATGAAAAAACTAATGTGTAAAGAAATCAATCCACAGAAAGTGGGTTACCATAGTTAACAGTCAGTTCGTTTTCTTTATATGTAAATAGAATATTGTCTTACAACCAGTCATTCTATCTGTGTAATTTTTGACAAAAACCGCTGTGGATTTATTCTACAAAGAGCCGAAAGGACCTGTAACTAATAATTGCGCAGTGTGAAGATTTTGGGCCATTCATTCACAGATCACTTAGAAGTAATGAATGCCCGAGTGCA